GAAGATTCTGTTGCTATCCTGTTCTCTAACCCTTTCCTCATCTTCTAGTTGAGATCAACTCATCCCAACTGATTCTGGTAGAACCACTCTGGCCCAGAGCACCAGCGACTTCATCACCAAATGAATAGCCTCTTGTCAGTATCCTCTTGTGTAGGGCACTTGACAGGCAACCACCAGTTTCTTCTTCAAAGTCTTTTCTCCTGTCTCTGAAAATCCATAACTCACCTTTCTCCAGTCTTGCCATGGTTCCAGTGTCTCCTTTGTGAACATTTCTGCTCCATTTGGTGTTGGTAAAACCCCAGTTCTAGCCTTTCAACCACTCCTTTTATCCACTTGATTCTCAGTTCCCATATAGCCCAGACCAAGATCCTAGCACAGTAGCTTGAATCCCTGGCTGCCAATTAAACAGCTCTATGCTAAGTCAAACACCCCACAACAAGGCTCCTTCTCTTCCCCACATTTATTTTCCTGGGTTAGGGCGCTTTTCCCTATTTAGGCTGGAATCCCTCTCTCACTCAGCACTCACATCCACTTACTGTCGATTTTCTAACACCATGCTGTTCAGCTACCCCTTAACTGATGCCCCGCCTTCTTTCTTCACCTGGACTACCACCACCCCCTCCAAGCAGATCTCATCTCTTTCCATTCCCCACTCTAATCTGGCCTCCATCTTACTGCCAACTAAGTGTTTAAATTTTTCTCTTGCTTCCCATCAAATGAAGACCAGCTTCTCAACATGACGCAAGACCCCTCCTGACCAGGCTCCTGTGCCTCTCCAACCCACTGCCTGTTAAGCTTCTTGATGCTGACTGTGTTCCAAGTGTGCCCAATTCTGACACAAGACAGTGTTGTGATTCTGCTGCTCTTTGATCTGTCTCTACACCTTTCCCCAGAGGAGCCTCAGTCATGTCTGACTCTTGTCTTCTTGGCAAATTGCTGCTCATCTTCCAAGCCCTTCTTACTTCTTTGGTAGTGCTTTTCCAGACCTTCCCTATGGGTTCAAGTAACTCTTGCCATTCTAGTGGGACCAAATCCCTTATTATAATGGTTTCTTTACATATCTGCCTTATCCTTATTCATATACATTATATTTTAATTTTGTATTTATTGTGTAATATTTAACATGATATTTTGCCTGCAGACTAGTATAAACTGAATAAAGGTTGTTGGTGGGATAAAAACTTTTGGCCAAAGTCATCATTCACTAAAAATTCAGAGACCAGTAGAGTCACAGTGTGCAAGGTTTCAGAGCAGTGAACTAAGGAACTTGTGACTGCATTTGCCAAATTTAAATAATGTACACATAATCCACTTAGTTCTGTTCTTTTTTGTTCTCATGGACTCTCTTTTAATATCTCATTGCAACACTGAATCATCTGTTGGCCTGGATACTTTTTTCTCCTGGCTGCCCTAATAAGTCCAATCAGTCAATTAGTCAAAAATCTCACCAGATTCATAGGTGTAGGTCTGGGTTATGAGCCTGAGCCTTTGAAGTCTCTCTCTTGATGCTTCCTGAAATATTAGCCTTGAGCTCCACTAATCTAACAATAAACAATTCTCACACTGATAACAGATTTTTCCGTTAATATATTACACCTCCTCGTAATGAAATAGGTCATTTATTAGAGTCAGTCTGCAAGGGAAAAACAAATGCACAAAACCCCAGAAAGTTTTCCCTTCATACAAACACAAAAATCATCCCAACAGCTCTTCTGTCCAGATAGCAAATAAAGGCATCACATCCATCCTCACCCTTCATCTTCTGGTGCAAACAGACTTGATTTTTTTATGCCTCTCTCCCAAGCTGCCCCTTCCTGTTTGTGCTCTCACCTCTACGCTGCTGATTTGGTCACCAGCTGAACTTCCAGAAGCAATCAATTTACTTCTCCTTTCTACTCTATAATCCAAGGACTTTGACAGCACTGCACTTAGAACCCCACTCCAGAGTCCAATCTGCTACAAAAATCTAAGGTGAAACCTCTGCCCACAGCCCAACTGTGTCTTTGAAAGGTCCTTTGTCTCATTTCCAGCAATCATCATGAGCTTTCTTCCAGACCAATTTTCTACACTTTCTTTTCTTTCCTTATACAAGTAAGCAAGAGAAATCAGTCTTTGTGACTTCATTAAATGTGGCTTACTTTATAAAAATGTCGTTAAAGGGTTCAAGTTTAGAATGCCCTGTAGATTTTTCCTTTCCCCCTTTCACTCATGTTATTACCACTTGCCTTTACTTTTTATCCTTAAAGATCCTGATCTTTTCTCTTCTCACTCTCTCCCCATCACATAATGCTGATGTCCTTTGTGTTAAGAAAAACTAGCCGGGTGGTGGTGGCGGTGGCGCACGCCTTTAATCCCAGCACTCGGGAGGCAGAGGCAGGCAGATCTCTGTGAGTTCGAGGCCAGGCTGGACCGACAGCCTCCAAAACAATACAGAGAAACCCTGTCTCGTTAAAAACCAGAAAAAAAAGAAAAACTAGTACTGAGCAGGCCATCATGACTCCCAGCACTAAGGAGGCAAGTACCAGGTCACTGTGTGATACAGAGGTGAAAACCAAAAGAGGGAGTAGTTAAAACAATCAGAATAGGCAATAGCTATTCTATTCTGCCTATGGCTATGGTTCAACATCTGTATCTCAGAGGAACTTACTAAGCTTGAGATAGGTCCCCTAGCCTCACAGTCCCAGAACAAGAAGTCCTTACCCTAAAAGTCTAAGGATCATTTACCTCTCATTTTCCTCTTCGAAATAATGGTAGACTGAAACAATGATCAAGAGTACAAATTAGCTCAGCTAGTGTGGGTATTGACAATCAGATTATGCCCCTGGGAAGCCCCTTCTATTTCCAGAGGAGCCACTAACCCACAGTCACACAGTCTACAGAAAGAGTACCAGTAGACCTGTTTATTACTGGTTCCAAAACCGCAACTAGCCACAAGCTGCCTCGATAGCATCCTCCTTTATAGTTTATCTATTTCCATTTTCAAAGAGAAAAATTCAAAATTGATACCTAAAAGGATGAATCGCATACAGTTTCTAAAGCCCATTCAGTGACAAGTTGGAATTGGATGACCAAGCACTCCCTTGTACACTCTGCCATCCCCTGGCCTCAGCTCTCTATGGTTGTAGGGACAGGGATGAAGGGATGAAGTTCAGTTGGAAGAGTGCTTGCCTAGCATGGAAGGGACCCGAGGTTTGATCCCTACGACCATATAAACTGGGGGTGGTGACCTGTGCCTTTGATCCCAGCACTTGGGGCAGGAGGATCAGAAACTCAAGGCCCATCACCAGTTACATAGGAAATTTGAACCCAGCCTGAGCAAAAAGCTGGTAAATATGTAAATAAAGACTGTGGTATCAAAGCATCTCTTCTAGTGGCCTTGGCTTTTCCACTTCAAGTAGGTTTTTCACTAAGTTGCAAGGAACTTAGCACATCACTTCAGAAAGTAAACATGTCCTACATACAGCGACTAGGCAACTGGAGGATAAAGTTTATCTTGTCATAACAGTTGTGGATGCCGAAAAAGCAGGATCCCATAGAAGCCTCAAGACTGGATCATTCCCGGGTGACAAGTGGCAGGACACATATTGCACTAACTGTAGTGCACCCTGAGATCAAGCACAGCTGTTAGCTGAGCCCTTGCCCTGAGTCACCAACCATTTACAAAGCAGGTGCACGGTCGCGCTCAAGCTCCCCATCTCATGCTGTCATCACAGGCTGTCCTGAGACTTGTAGGAGACGCAGAGGAAAATCCACGCATGATGGATGATGTCTAGAAGGAGACCACTCTAGCTCCGAAGTGGTACGGCGCGCACAAGAAACAGAATCTGCCCTTTCTTCTCAAAGGGAGCTAATGGCTAACCTATTTTTGCTGGATAAATAGAAGGGACCCATCACCCTGATTCCTAGCAATCCTCCTTAAAACAGCTTGTGCGCCTCTCCAATACGGTCATTCAAAGTAGGTCAGAAATGTTGCTTCCTTCCCCCTCATTGATTTTCCTTCCGCGGATGCACTTTCTGGAGCATTAAAGGAAAAGATAAACACCCAAATTCAACTTCCAGGGACACCCCCTGTAAATTTTTTTGGCACACTAAGTCTCGTTTTCCTAAAAGCAAAGAAACAGATCTAGCCACCCAGAATGTACACTTCTGGCTATAAATCAGCAGCAATCTCAAGCTGCAAAGTACACAGCTGCAAGCTTTCAGCCAGGTGGAGAACCTCCCCAAGGAGCATATTAGCTTACCCATTCTAATTCTCTACATCAGCAGCCTGTCTCTCTCTCTCTCTCTCTCTCTCTCTCTCTCTCTCTCTCTCTCTCTCTCTCTCTCTCTCTCTCTCTCTCTCTCTCTCTCTGTCTCTCTGTCTCTCTCTCTCTCTCTCTCTCTCTCTCTCTGTCTCTGTCTCTCTGTCTCTGTCTCTGTCTCTCTCTCTCTCTCTCTCTCTCTCTCTCTCTCTCTCTCTCTCTCTCTCTCTCTCTCTCTCTCTCTCTCTCTCTCATCTTCTTCACATCCATGTGTTGCCAGAATATCAAGGGACATCACAACCCGCCTTATGTGGCAGCTGAGGGCAGGGGAGTTGGATGAAAGCATTAGTGGAGACAGGGGAACATAGAAAGCAGGGGTCTCTGGAAAGCTAGAAAGCGCTAGTTTTCCAAATCCCACAGGGCAGGGCTTCCCCAGTCTCCTCCCCTTCGTGAAATTTCTACCTCAAGCCCAGGTCCTGAGCCCTGGCTCTCCAACCCGAGCCACTGCAAAGTCCTTTCAGAAACCCCCAAACACCAGCTCGGAGAGAAAAAGCACCACCAGAAAGAGAGCAAACCTGCACAGCCGCTCCTAGCCAGCTAGCAGGGGCGAGCAACTTCAACCCTGGACACCACCGAACGCCCCTGTCCTCCAAGCCTGAAAAAGGTGATGGCCACTCTGAGCCCGGGTCCTCGCGGCCGCCCCACCCCGCACCCCGCACCCTGGCCGCCAACTCCAGGCAGGGACCAGGTGCTGCTCACCTCCTGGCACGCAGGAAGCGGGCGGCCGGAGGAGGGCGAGTCCCCAGCCCAGGCTGCCTGGCAGCCGGCGAGCGCCCAGCAGCAAATCCAGGCGGGGCTCCAGGGCGGCGAGCGCGCGCGGCGGGGACCCTCGGCCGGTCGCCCCCGGCCCCTGCCCCTGCCCCGAACCCGGCGCAGGGCGAGTAGCAGCATCGCTGGGTGGACTCGGGCAGTCAGGCTGTGCAGCTCAGCCTTCGGGCGGCGAGGACCGTGTTCTCGGTTCCCCTCGGCCGGGCTCAGCTCAGCTGATCCTCCCGCTGACAGCTCCGCGGCTCACAGCGCGGGCAGCCGGCGCCCGTGCTCCCGTCACGCCGGAGGGAGGGACCGCGGGACGCGGGCGCGGCGCGGGGGCGGGACGCGGGGCGGGGACGCGGGAGCCCTGGAGCAGGTGGCGCGAGCTACGGCTGAGGCCCAGCCCAGCGTGCGTGGAGCGGTGGCACTGCCAACCGCTCAGGAGCCTGGCGACAGGATAAGGGGAAGTCAGAGAGGCCAGGGACCCCGGGGTGTCGCTCCTCTCTAGACCCCTGTGGACACCCTAAGAATATCTCTCGTAAGGATCCACGCCTGGCAACCTCAAAATGAATTTCTACATGATTAGGGTTTGCCTGAAATGGCAGGGAGGAAAGAGACCTTAGGTCTGTAGCATTGGACTCAGTTATCTCATCTATTTAATGAAAGTGGTAACGGTACCCACCACGTGGGGTCGCCATGCCGGTGAATTAAGTTGCCGGGCACAAAGCTCTTGGAAGGGTGCCTGGCTTGCTGTAGATGTTTGTGGTGGTGGCACCAAACCTGCTTGCTGCTGCTGTTGCTATTATTTCATACAGACGTGCAACCTCTGACGAGTAAACCTTTTTGCTTCTGGGAAAGCATTTATCCTGTACAAAGACTGTAATAGTGGTCTATTTTGTGTGGCCCCCACGACGCAGTGGACAAGGACGGGTCGGTATGGGAAGGTGTCAATGATTTTTGACCCTAGGAATTGCTGAGTTATTGTGTTCAGTATGCTGTTCATTCGATGACTTAGGGAAACCCACCTGACACACTAAATATAAATGGACCTGAATTTATCTGCAGCAGTGTAAATATGTTTATTCAGCTATATAAACATGCCCTTTCCGTTTAGGGGTACCTGAGCAGGTGGATGGTCTGTTATCACTTCGTTTTTATTTCCTCTGTATTTTTTTATTCTTTAATCCTTCAGAAATTCATGTGAGCCAAACATATATTACCTTTGTCAACAACTAACAACACGACTCACAAATTTTAGACATTTTCTTTCTTTAAAAAAAATAAAGCCAGATTAAATCACAATTACAAATCTCCCTAAGTAACACCATTTGTAACTTTCATTTAATAATTTCCTCTTAAAGGATTTAACAGCTTAGAGTTACTAGGTGTCGTAGGTTTTCTCTTGAGTAGGGTACATGCAGAGAACTTTACTAACAATCAAAAACCAGAACTACACCACCAATGGCAGAGCTAAAGGCATGCTATTTAAATAGATTTTTTCTTTTTGCAGGTAAACCAGATTACAATATAAATGACCAAACTATTTTAAATCCTCTAAACACACACACACACACAAATTTGTGTAGAGAATATGAATGAATTCAATTAACAAATTTTGCAATGAAAATTTTATACAACAGAATTAAATATTCTGAAAAGTGTTTCAATATGAACCTAGGTGTAGGAGTGAACCCCACAAAGCTATCCGCCCATCAGAGCCGGGACAAGGTAGAGATAAAAGGAAGTGAAAGGAAAAGGGGCTTCCCTTTTCTCCTGGAAGCCAGGCACGCTTCTAACTCCTGGTCTGTGCGACTCTCTCTCTGGTAAATAAATATATTGTTTTCCATATATAGCATCGAATATCATTATACCTAGGGATGAGAATAATTCCAGTAAATGTGTTTGTGGATTATGCATTCTGGAGCACAGGTATTCTGAAAAACAATTTGACAACATTAAATATGTCTATTCAGGGAACATGATAGAAGAGGAGACAGGAAGAATGTAAGAGCAGGAAGGAAGATAAAGAGGAGGACCGCAACAGGCTATCTCTGGGCATGACACGCCATTACATTCATGATATCACAGCAGCCCTGCCCTCTTGTCCTGGGCTGTCTACAGGCAATCATGGATGCCAAGGGTTCCTAGCCCTCCTGGATGAATTACTGACTACTGATGAGTTCTGGAGGAGGGGCATTTGTGGACCCAGTAGTGAGCCCACCAGGCTCCAATGGATAGCTACAAATCCATGATCACATGCATGGCCCTGGTTAAGCTCAGACAGTGACAAAACAAAACAAAAAGGCTTGCCTGTAGCAAGGGACTTGTAGGGCAGTGACAGGTGGGAGGGAGATAATAGAGCGAAAGGGTGGGAGTGATCAGAGTGAACCGTATGCATATTCAAAACGGCCAAAGAATAAACTCAGTTATGAAAATGTATTTATGCCTTTAGCTAGTCTTCTTTTTAAATTTTTAAAAAACTTTTTCATACAATATGTATTGATCGGATTCTTCTCCTTCTCCTAACTCCTCCCAGGTCCTTTCTACCTCACTCTCCACCTGAATTCATGTTCTTTCTCTCTTTCTAGTCATTTTCAATTCTTGTCATCTGAGAGCTAGTCAATAAGAAAAACAAGGCTTTGCACTCACTGTTGTTTAATTAAAAATAAAATAACCTAACTGACCCCAAATGAGGAATGGTTAAGCAAATTATGTTTCTTCTTGTGGTAATATTATATGGATATTACAGTTACAGTTTCAGAGGATATTGAGAGATTGAGGGAGTGCAATGAAACAATATCAGTGTTTACAAGCTGGATGCTTACCTTAGCAAGTAGCTTGTCTCCAGGTGTGGCAGGGGCGAGAAGTGTGCAGTTGAGTGGGTTTTATTGAAGGATCATGATTAAAATAAACTAGACCAAAGCTGTTGGAAGACATTAACTAATAGAAAGATAGCTGTTTTATTTCTTTCTCCTTTTTTAGAGTTTGTTTTTACTTTCTCCATATTATTGTGCTATATTATTATAATCATTATGTATCATTTACAGTGTCTGTGTTCTATGATGTTTAACAATTCTACCTGGGGGAAAATAATCAAACACACAAAAACATAAAGACAAGAATGTTCACCAGTGTTATTTGGAAAACAAAAAGAAAATGGTAAATGAAACCTAAATATCTAATACAAGGAAAAGTGAAACAAATAGTTATATATAAAAGAAACTCTTCATACAAATTAATTTCAGTGGCATTTATTTGAGGGATGTAAATATTCATGAATCAAATAACACCCGAGACCAGAGTTCTCCATCCCACGGCGTCACAGATGGAGACTACAGAGGGTATAAAATAGCCTAATTGCAAGCTTTGTATCCTCGCCCTCTAAAGGGATAATTTATCAAAAACACATAAGCTATGAATTCACTGCTATAGATGTGACAAATGAACCGTTTTCCCTAATATGACAATATTCTGAATGTATGCTGCCACATATAGATACTAAAGTTGTATTCTGTAACACACACACACACACACACACACACACACACACACAGAGGTGGGGGAAGGGATAGCCTAATTGGTCACAGCTCTGCATTTGCCATATTTAGTTTGCAGCCTGTAATTGGTTGGAAAGGCTACCTTGTTAAAAAAATATGCTCAAAAAATATGCTCTTAAATTAGGTCACAGCTCCCTTATATAGCAACTTAGGTTGCAGTCTGCTACAGATGGAGGCACCTTTAACCTAATCTCATTTGACATATTCAGTGGCATATTACCCAACTGCAAAGAATTGCTTCATGAAAGGTACCTGACACAGGAAACACTGGAGAAAAAATTTTCCCATTCAGCGAGGAAAATAATGACACAAAATTTATGCACAGTAGGCATTCAATATATTTTATTTAATAAAACATGGGCAGATTTCATGGTAATGATTGCCTAGAAAAAAGAAAGATTGAGAAACTGTACATAGAGGGCTTCATCTGAACTTTTAATTCTGTGAAATTTGTGAGCACATGCTTGCACTCGCAAGTGTGTGTGCCTTCATGAAGGTTCATGGCCAACTGTGGAGATGTTCCTCTTTCACCCTCCACAAGATTTGTCACTAAACCTAGACCTCAAGGACTCAGCTTGTGCAGCTGTGAAGAAATCCCTTTATCCGTCTGTCCCTTCTCCATCTCCACTCCACTCCCAGACACCTGCCAACATGCCCAGCTTTTTTCTGGATTTGGGATCTAAATTCAGGGTCTTGTGCCTACAGAAAGCACTTACCCACTGACTATCTCCGTAGCCCTGAACTTTTACCATATTTTTAGTTTTTGTTTAGTTTTCTAAGATTTATTTTTATGTATGTGTATGTATGTGGGCTCTGTATGTGCACACTACATGTGAGCAGATGCCCACAGAGGCCATGAGTGGCTATCGGGTCCCTTGTAGCTAGAGTTAAGCCATCAGCCATATTCAGGTCCTGTGCAAGACGGGCACTTGTTCTTCACTGCTGAGTCATCTCCCCAGCCTCAGTATCTTATTTTTTAAAGGAAAGAAGGTGGGAAGGGGGCTATAGAGAGAGAAAGAAAATATCAGAAGCAAATATAAAAAGTAATGTTTTGTTTTGAGTATTGGGTAGCAGTTACACAAATAACCAACATTTATTGGACATTTAGTAGATAAATGCAGGAGTATTCGAAGATTAAGTAATTTACTTAGTCTTCAAAATCACTACAATGCATGTAGGTGTCCCATTATCCACCTCTTTGACAGATAAAGGAAGAAAGCCATAATTTCCTCATCAGGATTTCAGACACTTGACAGTTTTGTTTTCCTCTGTACTTTTCTATGCTTTTGAAATACCTAATCATTGAAGTTATTTCATGGAATTCATCTTAACTGGATTTAAGCATCCATATTAAAATACCAGAAGAAGAAAGAGATGCAACTTAATATGTATGCTATTATGTGAGGCCTTGGGTTCAATGTTTAGTCCCACCTTAAAAATCAAAAATATTGAGAGGATAGATAAAAATAATAAGGGTGTTTCTGATACAAAGCACACAGTTTTTTCTAGCTGATTATACCAAACGTCTTTTGACACTTGGATTTCATTCTACTAGTTGAACAAGAACAATCATTTGCAAATTAACTGTTTTGATTTGATTATTTTTATCCTTATTTTATGAGAATCTCATATATGAGCATTGTATTTACATCATTCCCTCTCCAACTCATATATATATATGCATGTATATATATGTTTATTTAGTGCTGCTTAATGTATGTGTTT